TATTTCAAGGTGTCAGCTTCGCAGGGTATTGTGTTAAGCAGTAATAATTACCAAAATTTATGTCAGCTAATCAATAGTTAGAGCTGTTGCTAGGATTCTCAGAAATTTCCTTCTACAAAAAATATTTATTTTCGATGGTCTGCCGCATGTAGCACGTGTGAAGGTGACCTTCTCCGACAGTTTCCAGAAGCTTTGCTTTCGCTTGTATCGTTATATGAGACGCAGGGCCACATCTAGTGTCACTAGTCGCTCTTATGACGTCGTTGTCACACGACCTGCGCCGCAAAAAACAAGCGCCGCTCGAAACTGTCTTGCAGCCGCACGTGCATTGAATGAGGACGAGCTTAGAGTCCGAGAGAGGATGACAAGACCTCCGCTTCAAGTTTTATGGCGACGATGTCTGGCGTCAGCCTAAGACATCCGCAGCCGTTTACGCATTTGTTTTGTCAACGCCTCCTAGTGAGCCTAGAACGTCGCTCTTTTCAATCGGGAGCTTCCTGCCAGCACGCGATCTCGGAGGCCGTGCCTCCTGCCGCGTGAGGCGACCGTCCGCCGCGTGCGAACGCTCGCCTCTGTACCGCTCAGTCACGTGACATTACCGTACCACCAACGTTAGGGCAACACGTACGCGGCTCACGTTGTAGGCGTAGCACAGCCTCAAGCTGTCTCGTCCACCGGAAGTGCGTAGCTGCCGACCTTTGTTCACAGTCTTATAGCTACTCTGGTTACGTGCGAGGGCCTCACGTCGCCGGGGCGTGGTGTACTGGCGCCGGCTGCAGAGCTTCTCGTCACGACAGATCACCAGAGGACGTCTTGGCCATGACTATGAAGCAGTGCAAAGTATTTTCATTCGGACCACGTGCGATACTGCCTTATTTTTTTAATACGATGAGCAAAAATGCAAAGAAATATGCTTGGATGCATATACTGGAACGCCAACCTATGCGGAGTGAGGTGGCTCATGCTAAAAGGTGACGCTAGATGAAACAGCGAAGTTGATTAGACATCTGATTTATAGAGGAATTATTCACATCACGGGTATCCATGTATAGATGGTTTCGGTGTTTGCAAAGAAACTGGCTCGCACCAAACGGCTTACGCCAGAAGACTTCCGGTGCACCGCTTCTGGTAATGTTTTTTTTCAATGGTCCCGGCGGCGTTTTCGTGGTGTGTTTGAGTTTGCTGCTCTATTATTTTTTGCACATTCAGAATAATTTAGATTGGAAGGTGCTCTTAAATTACAAAAACAACCGGGCCCTTCGTTACGGTTTACAGAAACTTCATATCATAATGCATAGATGATTACATTTCATTCGTGTCTGCCACAAAGAGCGGTGGCAAGAACTCGCAGCTCCAGTCATACATCGATAATCGCGGATCATTCGCGGTCCATGTGAAACGAAACCGCTATTAGCGGCGGTTGCGAACAGAGCGATTGGAGCGAATGGAACTATTTTTTTCGCTGCAGTCGTGGCATGTGAAACCGCCTTTAGGATGTGTTTAAAGCAACGTCTACAGCGGCTACACCAAGGGGCACGACGTAGCGTACGGGAGGTACAGGCGCGGCCACTGCTGCAGGTAACACGGCTCGCATGGCTGACAGGCGCCGCGCGAAACACGTGTCGAGGCGTTCCAATCAGCGCGTCTCTAACAGTGACTGACAGAAAATGCCCAAAGTGCAGGAGAAGTTTCTCAGCCCACCTAATTGGGCCAGTTGGTTCTGCATGTCGACGATGTAGAGATGCTTTTTGTAGACTCTGACAGAGAATTGACACCGTACACCTGTCTTTTACCTGTGAGCATCTTGAAAGCGCACCCAAATCGTCGATATGCAGGATAATAGTTGCTCGATCCACAGTCAAGTTGTACAATTTAGCTTTCCGACAGTAACTGAATACCTGCTTCATGTCGAACTACGAACACATTTGTGTTTTCGTCAAAGCACACAACCTCGGGATCCTCGTGATAAAACGCTTATTTCTGCGCCTGTGTCACACCCGGCACTTTTTATGAAGATCAGCGGTGATCGCAATCACACTCGCGATTCGTGTGACTGAGAAATAATAAAGTCTACTGATTATGTAATGACGTCAGCTACGGCTGGATTACGCAAACTATTTAGGCTTACTCTAGAGTAAAGTATTCATGAATCAAACTTTCTACAGTCCATGTTCCCACCGAAAGATAAATGAGTTGAATGTGGCGATGCCCATTACCGGCAGAAAGACAGGCGATGAGTCATTTGCTCGCACAGATGAGAGCCCACTGGCTGGCGTTGCTTCGAAAAAAAAAATAGAATGCAACGACAACAATACCAGGACACCACGACGTACACTGCGCGGCGATTCATGTTGAGCGCGGCTACTTAGTGTCCCACGTTGTTTTGAACAGTACACATCAATGAGTCCTTCAAACACCATTGCAATGGATTTTTAGGGTTAGCTTTTACATTGTCTACCCAGTTCAGGCTTCAGTACACACATATCTGCCAGGGGTGGAAAACGACAGCGACCGATGTGTTCCCAGTAACTGGGGGCCTTCGACTAGTCTGACGTCCGAGTATCACCTCTGTACCTTTAGTCGGGCGGAGTTTTACATTGTATTTAACGAAGCGGGCAGAAAAAAAAAACTGCGCGCTCTTAGTGGGAATCTGGTTTTCTCGCGTGATCGCTGCAATGACGGCGCTCTTTCTATCGTCATGGGTCGAAAAATTAGTTCAGGCTTGCGGACTGCCTCTTGGCTTGACACAGCTGTGCTCGAGTTGCGAGCGCTCCATCGGAATGATGTTATCCGCATAGAATATCAGAATACAAGCAGCCGCGGTCAGAAACAAAGGCTAAAATCACGCAAAAACAAGCTAAATCGGAAGTTTCCTGGGGTGTTTTTCGGTGAACGCGCAATGTTGCCAGAGGCCGGCAGGCGCTGGCGAACACCTACAGGCTCTACTTACACAAAAAAAGAAAACAAAAATTTGCTGACGAAAGTGTACAAGTTCACTTCTGTCTCATGAAAAACCTACCAATGCTTTACCACAAGGCACGAGCGAGGAGCAGGAGCTCGATTTCGATTTTTTGTTTATGTGAATCGATACATTTTGCACAGCATTTATTATTCCTATACTGTTACCGGTTCATTTATCCCCAAATGTATATTCTGAATTTTCTTTGTTTTGAGTATTTTTTGCATATATAGAGTTTTTTATTGCACTGTTTACCAGCTCGCCCTCAAAAATTACACTGTCTTCACATTGTTATTCATTCCGAAGTAGCTTTGTTGCTCCACAACATATATATTTTTTGGAAAGAGCATTTTGTTGAGCAAAATTTGGTATTCTGTAACGCGTGATGAAGTACTTTTCAAAATTTCAAAGACTATTTTCCCGAGACATGTGAAAAATAACGATATTCGTGCGGCAACGAAAAAGTTAATAAAGAGGTGGTGCCATCAAAGTTCGAAGCTACAGAAGCCTGTTGTCGCTTTCCTTTGCACGCAAGGACACTGTACACTAATGGTCGGACACAGCAAAAGTTTAGAAGATATTTCAGTTCATTTCCAAAGTGTACCTAAATGCTGCTTCTCCCAACCAAAACCTATCGCAAGCGTGTCCAGCGCTGACGTAGCTCTGCAGGAAGGGCAACAAGAGTTGTAGTGACGTCACACCTGATCTGTAGTGAGCGTAAGCGTGCGAAGGTTTTACCTTTAGAGGGGAAGAAAGTTCATCGCAGCACCCCTCTTCCTTGCATACGTGTCAATGTATGCAGCTGAATCAGCCCCCCCCCCCCCCCCCTTGAGTGGCAGTGCCCCCTCATATCAATGAGTAGGGCCCTCTTCTCTCAGGTGACTACTACGGGAGTGGTGCAAGGCTGCAGTTCACAGAAGCGCTTGTTATCAACCTTTCCTCCGGCTTTTCTAGGCTTAACTAAGCTATGCCAGTCTTGGACATTAAATTAGTCATGGGTTTGTTAGTTTTGCCTGAGTAAAGCTTAAATTAATTAGAACTAACCAGCATTGGCTTTACTGGTTAGGGCTTAGTCTTAATTCAAATTGGCTAACTAATATGACATAATTACTTTTGACTTAATTGGAACAGTCTAATCAGTCATGGATTAACTTTGCCTACTCAGCTCTCTCACCACACAAGGAATGCAAGGGCGAGGGGAACGATAAGCTGAGAATAGAGTCAGTTGAGAAGTGGGATTGATGCCATCCGGTTGTCTCCACCACGTGGCAAAGGAGCTGAGTAGGCGAGGGGAGAATCGGTTAGGAGAGAACTGCCACTCAGCACCCATCCCGTCGTCTTTTCCTTGTTCGTCCTTGTGTTCTTGCGCTGTTTTCAAGATAAATACCTTGAAGCTTGGCTTAAACAGCTTGGCTAAGCTATACCTCACGTTGTCAGCAATGTGAGGTGACTTTATAGGTGCAGTTTTTGTTTGCATCCCGTCGCCTAACCTGCGCATTAAACAACCACATTATTGAGGTACCTTTTCTTCTCTTCCTTTGTACATGTTCTTTCGCCTAGCTGTTTTATTGAATCACACACCTGACAAATCGGCACATGTGGTGTGGGAGCGAATCAAAGTAGCAGATGAAAGGGATGAAGATAGCATGTGCCTGTCCTTAACAATGTTTTTTTTTTTTTTTTTTTCGCACTACCCAGAGCAGCGAACAGAAAATACAGATGTCTAATACAGATGTCTTTGTGAATGCACCGAAGTACATCTCTCATCACAAATGTCACAAGATGTGTACAATGCATTCTTGAAACATAATTCTGCAAGCTCTGCACCTTTTCAGGAGTTATATTTTAAAGAGTTACAAAGAGTAGAATATGTTGGAAGAAGGTGCATTCAATTGCAAATTGGAGAGATATTAACCATACATGCAGCAAAAGATTTTAGCTTTGCTACACGGAAAACCATGAACGGCAAATTGTATTGAGAGATTGTGCGTGAAACATTCTCTAGCTGGTGCCAAGACAAGGGTAATCAAAATGCCACACCTTTTCAGACAACAACATTTTATTCCTGCCATTAAAACTTCCCAATGATCCAAGTATGACACTTAGACAACTAAATTGAATGACAACTTTTGCAACAGTATGCAAAAATACTTATTTTAAATGTATTCCCAGTGTGCTAGTATCGCACTAATATTAGCCAAGCACTTATAGTGGTTTCACATCTATAGCACAATAAATGTGGCATGTCTGACTTGGACTAGGAATCGTGTGGCAAATCATTAATCAGAAGAATGTGCTAAGCACAAGCTTCTGACAAGTACCCAAGATGATGATTGATGCCACACGAATGAGAGATACCAAGAAAAAAAAGCTCGATAACCCAATATTTATCAAACCCAAGGTAAAAGAATCTTTTATGCTGCACCCCCGTCCCCCCCAGTCACTTAATATAACAATTTCTCAGGGATCACAGATGTCTAGTGTCATTTCTGATGCATTTAACAAAATAGACAAATATTGCAATGTTCACATAAAATGGTCCTTAACATTAAGAAAAATGGTCACAGTATTAAAAGATTGTAGTTTTATCGCCACACATGGCATGTTGTCAATCACAGGAAAAGGAGAAAGCAAAGCCCACCTTTCCACCACCGGTACTCCACAAAAAAAAAAAAAATGTGACATGCAGTCCCTCACAACTGCTTGGTATGTACAGTGTCTCCCGGTGAAACTGCCTCACCCTCACACCATGTCACCCTCCACTCTGTTGCCCCAAACAGAGCTCGGCTAGTCTCCCACTCCGAAGCTTCAAGAGCTTTCCAGAGCAGTGGAAAGCACTTGTTCACCATTGCCCTCGAAGACTGAAACAGCCTGTGGTCATCACTGGAAAGGTCTTCCGCAGCATTCTCCACATCTGCAATGTCTGATGCCCACGGATGTTCCATGTTGACCCTCAATTTCAGCAGGATAGCCTCGAGCAAAAAGGCGTGGAACATGGCCTCCATGTGATCTTTCACGGTGCTCTCACTTGACAGCACAACGTTGATGTTGTAGTGCCGGGACGAGTCTCGTACGACAGCAAGCAAGTACGTGGGCTCTGTTTTCCGGTCACCGGCAGCAGATTCAAGTCTGCGCTCGAGTTCTTTGTTGGTCGATGCGATCGAGGACAGAGGCACACCAAAGTTGATGTTGACAAATGGTTTTCCACACTGAATCCACACCGACTCACGGGCGTTAACCCAGACAATGGGAGCAATGTCTCCAGCTGTTTCCAAGAAGCGTCTGACCACGATGGCATAACGAGATCGGTTGAAGGTCTCCATCACGACGCACGACACAGCACGGTAGTTTGCAAAGATGTGCAGAAGTGTGAAAGAAATGAAGATGCTGTAGAGTAACCTAGAAGAGAAAGTGAAGCAGGAAAAGGTGTCAAACTGTTTTTACAAACATTACAACCTGTGTGAAATTTCTTGGACTGCCTAAGAACCATAAATACATGTCAGCTATTCTGACAGCTTGAGAGAGAAAAAAGGATGCATACACAGAACGCTGTATAGTCAGATGAGAAGGATAACAGGCAATGTAACAGTTCCTTAAAGGGGCCCTGAAACACTTTTTCAAGTAACCATGGAATGAATTCACTGGAAGAGTTTATTTCCTCACGAATTCAACACAGCAAAAATTTTAAGAATCCGTCCAGTGTGAGTGGAGTTACAAAGGTTTGTCGCATGCTGCAATTGCATTTTCTCTTCTCTCGTCCCAATGAAAGAGCTGAAAGCTAAGCAGAGAGGAATGGCAGGGCCACAGAAAAACATCACGCATACTTCGTGACCTTGAGCACTTTTTTCTTTCTTTTTTTTCTTCAAATGCGGGGCTTTTTCAGTGTGAGCGCACGCACATGCGTGGACAAGTAGCGGCCTCTTGCGGCAATCTTTATAAGGAGCGAGCGCAGGATGTTCAAATCAGCCAATGGCTGATAGAAGGCTAATTGACGTGTCATTTTTGGGCATATTGCGTGATTTGCCGAGAGAAGATAAAGCAAACTTTAGCTGACTTTGATCATTTATTGTGAATTCTAGGCCGCGTGCTGTGCTATAATATTTAGCTCGTGTGTTGTCGGGAGCCTCTACTACCGATCGGCAGCGGTTTCTGACCATGCTCAAAAAGTGTTGCAGCGCCCCTTTAATGTGACTAAGAAATACGCCACTCATTTAAAAATAAGAAATAAGCCTTTCATTTGAAAATGACAAAGAGATATGTTGACAGCTTGTGCCGCTAAAGTAGCCAGCACAACGTTCCATTGACGCATTAAAGGGACACTAAAGGCAACTATTAAGTCGACGTCGATAGTTGAAATAGCAGTCCAGAAACCTCGTAGCGTTACTTTTGTGCAAAAGAAGGGCCTACTTTAAAATAAAATCATGCTTTAGTGGTTCGCATAGGACTGCGCACTTCAAATTACCTGCCTCAAGAAGCAGACTGACCGGATTGACTCACGTCAATGTTTCCATGTACAACGTTGCCCGGCTTTACTGCGCTAGCAGCAGCAGACCGAAAGCAGCAGGAGCCACAGCAGCAACAACGGCCATCGATCAATTTCCCACCATTGACTACGAGATTGCAGACATTTTTTATTCAACTATGCCCCACTAGATAGCACCAACTGTCCAGTGTAAATACGCGAAAATTATTTTTGAACTACTCGCGCCATTCCCTGTAGTAACGTCCGGCGGTTCTATTTTTCATAAATCAAACAGAAACGAACAGGCACAATTTTATTGCGTCTATTGATGCACGAAAGGTTCCTTATTTAGTGCAGCTAAATGGATTATTAGTGATAAATTGTAGGCAGCCCGTCTGATGTCATCGGGATCATTTTGAGAACGTTCTACTGCGGCGCTTGTGTTCTTGTGCATTTACCTTAATTTATTGGTAAGTAGGGCACTGTAATTGATAATATTGTTGTTTTAGATGTTGTCACACATTGAGCTTTCACTCTGACGTAAATTGTTATTTGACCTTAGTGTCTCTTTAAGCCTCATTTAGAACACTGTGCACTTCTGTCCTAGAGAGCAGAAATGAATCTGTTCGTTTTTGCACACTATTTTGTCGATATCAGCTGGAGCCACTTCAGTTTATGATGGTGTTGCCAGGCCACACATCTATTCCCAAGTTCATTGGCAGTTCAGGTTCTTTCATTTTCAATGTCCTCGAGTCATAAACTCAGCATTACTTGAGCTGTTTTCTTTGCTTTGTTTTATACCCAGAAAAGATCAAGCTCATTGTTAGCACTGGCAGAAGACAACATCCATGCATTTACTTTACCTTAGCAAAGCAGTGACATGCATTTTAACTAGTTGGCTCCCGACAAGAATTAGGCATATTCATGTTGTACAGCTACCATAACATTCTGAACAAATGTCGTCTTAACTTTCACTGTTAATTTTAAATTTCAACATTGTTTCCGGAAAAACGGACTATGTGGATGACGGGCTATACACAAACAGCGCGCCACTGAACCAAGAGGCATTAACCAATTAGCACCCGGCACACTTTTTATAGCGAAAGCTGTATAGCCTCCTCAGTCTCAAGAATGCACCAATGATAAAAGATATTGCCAAACTGTATTATTTGAGTCCCTGCCTTTAATAACAAGTGCAGAAAAATTAAGAATTCGGAAATTGAACGGGTGTCTCAAAATGTGATGGTGCCCATTTGCGTACTTCTGATCTTTTGAAGTCCCTCAGATTTAGTGCACACAAAAATATCAGACCGAAATGGCTCTCAATGTGATCTCCGAGGTGTCCACAGTTAAAATAATGCACTATAGACAATCTTGTTCCCGCTACAAATAAAAAAAAACTTCCACTTATCACAAAGACGCAGCTAAGCGCTCGTGCAATACGCATCCGAACGCTCGTGCAGTATTACTGTAATTACTCGGATCTAACACGCACCTTTTTTCCGGTTAAGCGAGTTCATAAATCGTGGGCTCGTTAGAATCGAGTACCAAAAAAAATGAATACGGTCATTCTATTGCATCGGCAATTCCAAAATGGCCGCCCCCTACATGCATCGGCATGGCGCGTCGGCCATTTCTGCCTATGTGTTTCCCATGTGCGGCACTTCGTACGTGTGCAGAGGAGTTCGTCATCTTGTAGTGCATAAGCATCGACGGCATGGAAGGGCGGACTCCAAAAACTCGAGTGCACCACGATGCCGCTTTTAAAAGAAAAGTCGCGCGTGCAGAAATGGACGGAAACCGGGCCACATCGCGGTCGTTCAGAGTTCCGGAAACGTGCGTGCGGGACTGGCGGAAACAAAAGCAGAAGATTGTGTAGGTGTTCTGTGAGATTGTCGACAGAAAAGCTTTACGCAAAGACTTCAGTAGACCACAGCAGGGTCGGTTTCCGCAAATTGAAGAGCTGCTCGGCGAGTATGTGTTTGAGCAGCGAGCGGCCCGTGACGACAGAACTGCTCCATGTGCGGGCTATGCAGTTAGCCTTAGAAAAAGGGCTAGTGCGGAGCCAGTTGAAAGCGAGCAGGTGCTGGCTAACTAACTTTATGAAGAGGAAAGGCTTTTCCCTCCGAAAGCGAACGGGCATATGCCAAAAAGTTGCCGGAGGAGTACGAGGAAACGCTTCAGAGTTTTCAGAGGTTCGTCCTAAACTTGCGGCACAACCTGCTTGGGCAAATCGGGAATGCCGATCAGACGCCTCTTTACTTTGACATGCCTGGCACCACAACCGTCAAGAAGAAGGGGGCGAAGCAAGTTCGCGTGCTGACATCGGGCCACGGTAAAACTAGAGTGACGGCAATGCTCCGTTGCACGTCAGATAGGCACAAGCTTCCCCCGTACCTCATATTTAAACGGAAGACGCTCCCGAAAGGAGTCGTTTCCTCGAGTGGTGTGATCGCGTGGGCCAACGAGAAAAATGGGTGCGCGTTGCAATCGATGTCTTACTTTTTTTCTTTTCGTCGTAGAAACCGGGTGCGCAATACAATCGAGGGCGCGGTAGAATAGAGTAAGTACGGCAAAGTCAGTTTCGTTCACTTATTTTGAGGATGTGACAAGACACACGGCGCCAATTCTAAGGGCTTAGTGAAAGCAACTCATCCTTATTGTGCCAAAACAAATTGGGACATGCGGATATCGAACTGTGATGATCTGTAGCCTTTAGAACAACGGTACCCAATTGGATACTCAGGGAGTGAGGAAGATTTGGCTAGGAGAAACGAAAATTCGACCTGCTGCTGTGTCACGAGCTGTCTTCATAGGCTGTGTTATCAGTTATGTTGTCCGCAGCATCTTACCAAAGCATGCATGCCATTGGCTGCGTTGTAAGTGACGTCGTTCAACGCGTCGCATCCGTGGTGCCGAGCGCGTTTTCCCTGAAACCTTCTACATGGGTATGCCATGGACAACTCTAGAAGAGCGCCGAAAGTGGAAACATGTGAGAGCTCGCAATCGCCGGGCGGATGGCGCAGTTCGAGCATAAAAACAGGCCTGGGAGGCTGAGTGCCAGCAGCAACAGCGTACCAATGATCCGGCAGCCTTCCAAGCCACGCTAAATCGTGAACGGGAATGCAAGCTGATGGCGGACGGTTCCTACAAACCACGCCGCCGAGTTCGCTCGCGATGTCAATGTTTGAAACTTCGTTGTGATGTCAACATGATGATTGCGGGAGCGCGATCGCCTGGGCGAATGCCCGCATTCAGCGGGAGTTTGTCCAGTGGTACACTGGCTTTGGCTGCCACGTTTGTGACAGCCTGTGGTTCGACAACAGCCACTATAATTAAATCATTACAAAACGCATTTAAGCACTTATTACACTCTCCCATGACCGTGATCATGCGAGGCACAATGTGCAGCATGTGAAATAAGCACTCTGGTAAACCCAAGCCAAACCTGTTTGCCACCTCGTTAAGAAGCACGAAAGCGTAGCCAACATTTGTGAAAGGCTTCAGTGTCATGTCGGGTTTAATCCATAGAGAAACACTGGGGCTGCACGTTTCAGCTTTCACTGGTTAATCATTTGTATTGAGTGCTTGGGCAGTTACTTCAAAGTAACTAAATATTTCGGGAAAAAGAAACACACAATCCAATTTGTATCTGATTTTGATGATTAGCATTTTTGAAGCTAGTTTGTAATAAGACGCTTTGAATCTCACATATTGACAAAGGTCTCGTTACACTTCCCAAAACAAGCGCAAATCGAATGCCCATTATGCAGAGTATATTTCTTAAATTAATTTGAAGTTTAGCACTTTATATATTGAAACAAATGAAAGGATCGTGCGTCAAAAGAACAGAAGAAACTGGCGTCAGTGTCGTCGTACGGCGACGACACTGACGCCAGTGATGCTTCGGAGTCTGAATGAACGTTATGGGGTGAGAGAGGTAAAAAATAAAAGGGCAGTGTGCCATGCATGTAGCTCCTGTGTAATGTGTGCATTTTATTACAAAGGTAAGCCTTAATTTACTTTTATCTTTCAATTTGTATCTGTATCTGATTTTGATGATTAGCATTTTTGAAGCTAGTTTGTAATAAGACGCTTTGAATCTCACATATTGACAAAGGTCTCGTTAAACTTCCCAAAACAAGCGCAAATCGAATGCCCATTATGCAGAGTATATTTCTTAAATTAATTTGAAGTTTAGCACTTTATATATTGAAACAAATGAAAGGATCGTGCGTCAGAAGAACAAAATGACTGCTGCAAAGCTAGATATCAGCTAAAGTGGATAGTTTTTCTCCAAAGAGTAATCAAATACTGGTGTGCTTTTCATAGTGCACTGGGTCTTTCTGGGTGCTTCAACGAGCATTTTGTTGTAGATTGCGCCACAGATCGAAACAGGCATTTTCTTCAAAAGAGCACTGTTTTGATGGTTGTGTGAGACTCTTGAGGCTGCAACAGACGGCGTAGATATGTGAGAGCTAATTTGTTTTGTCATTGTGGCTCTTGGCCCTAACGTTGAAACTGCTGAAGGAGGGCGGGGACGACTGCATACATGATTGGATGACCTTTTCCAGCGCAAAATACCACTTCTCAGAGATTGATTGATTGATTGATATGTGGGGTTTAACGTCCCAAAACCACTATATGATTATGAGAGACGCCGTAGTGGAGGGCTCCGGAAATTTAGACCACCTGGGGTTCTTTAACGTGCACCCAAATCTGAGCACACGGGCCTACAACACTTCTCAGAGATAAATTCGCAAGATACTGCTTCTGTTTTGATCTAGGAAGCGATGATCTTTTGGTAAAGAGCAAAGACAATAGTATAGTTGCTATGACAACAAGCTACGGCATACTCGAGCCATTATGCTAAGGGAATAGGGTCATCTATTCAAAATAAATACTTGATGCCATCGCCAAACCAGGTCAGCAGCTATAGCAATGGCATGGGAAGAATTCACCTCCGAGATCAAACTGCGTGTACCGTATTTACTCGCGTACCGATCGCACTCGCATAATGATCGCACCCCTAAATTTTGTCGTCTAAATTCGACTTTTTCTTTTCCCCCGTGTAATGATGGCGCCCTGAAATTGCCGCATCAACATGTCATGTACCAAGTCTAGCTGAACGTGCCTATCACTGTTTATGTGATCTGAAAGCGGGCATCACTATGCTAATGCCGTAAATTTACTGATTTAAATGAAAGCATTCTTTATTTAGATGGAAGAAACTGTTCTGACGCGCGTGACGTACTCACAATCTCCATAACTGACACAAAGAAGAAAAAAAATGCGGTGGCTTCGCTCTACGGAGTGCTTCGCTCCGTCAGCCGCTATGTTTGTTTTAACATCCCGCACTACAGTGCAGTCCACTTATAACGATACCACATATAACGATATATCGGTTATAACGATGGGTCGACTTAACAGTCTCATTTTATGCATTGGGGCTATGGGGAAAAAAACCATATATAACGATATGTTATCCACCGCATATCGGATACAACGATGAAAAGTTTGCCGTGGACGGCATGTTTCATTCGGAATAATCGTAACATTTAGATTGATAAGTTCCTCTGAAACGAACTATGCCGAGACAAGACGAAAAGTTAGCGTAGGCGAGTACGTATCTGCCGCCACTGCAGCACAGCGCCGGCAGCGCGTCCCGGCCGTTCAAAAAGCCGAGGAGAGCATCGCGAGTTGGCGCGACGCGCTACAGATGGCGCCAGCTGTGTCACGTTTTGCGCCTCGCCGCGCGTCGACCGCGGAGAGGCTGAGAGAATTAAAAAAAAAAAATGCGAAAAGCAAAGCGCCGCGCTCCGCGGCTCCCCGCCTTCTACAACGGCAAGCCGGCAAGCTACTCGTAGCTTGCCGAACGAAAGCGGGAAAGAGAGAGAAAATAAAAAAAAGCGAAAAGCAAAGCGGCGCGGCGGCATCGGGGCGGGGCCTCGTTGGCATTCCGGCTGTGTACCTCTGGCTGTGCTTTCTTCCTCCCACCCCGCCGTCGGTCAGTCTCTCTTCCTCAGCGAATCCGTGATGCGTTCTTCGGAGTAAGAAATAAAGTCTTGTTCTTGACATCCTACTATCTACAATATTTATGAATTGGTGAAAATAGCGAAATGAAGCCTGGAGCTACAAAAGGTACATCCGGCGACGATTTTTTGGCGGCAGTCCAGATATAACGATCACCGGTTATAACGATCATATTTTTAGGTTTTCTCGATATCGTTTTAAGTGGACTACACTGTATTACAGCGGCGGCCGCTTCTTGGTCGACCTGTGTTCATCCCGCAGCAATGTTTTTTTTTTTTCCCTGAGACCACGTTTTTTTTGGTGTGCTTTGTGATCGTCTGTTGAAGCGCCGTTTCACCATGGGACGGTATGCGAGCTTTACCGCCGCGTTCAGGCTGAAGTCGCTTGACTACGCGCTAGAGCACGGCAACCGCGCTGCCAGCAGACATTTTGGCGTCGACGAAATCTGGATTCGATATTGGAAAAAACAATGCAACATGCTCATGGCTACAAACAGCACGCGATGGGCTTTCTGCGGACCCAAATCTGGCAAGTTCCCCGACATTGAAAAGGCAGTCCTCGAATACGTGAAGGACATGCGCAAGGACGGTTATGCAGTGTCATTAGACATGATATGAACGCAGGCACACACAGTTTTCCAGAGGCTGGGAATAGCCACAAAAGACTTCCGCACCAGTTCCGGCTGGACGACACGCTTCATGCGGCGGAATGGACCGTCGCTGGCATTTCCACCGCGCTCGACGGAACGAAAGATGACCCTCTGTGGGACAGTGAAGACACTGCCGGTTCCGACAGGGAATCGTACGGCAACGACACTGACGCCAGTGATGCTACGGAGTCTGAATGAACGTTATGGGGTGAGAGAGGTAAAAAATAAAAGGGCAGTGTGCCATGCATGTAGCTCCTGTGTAATGTGTGCATTTTATTACAAAGGTAAGCCTTAATTTACTTTTATCTTTGGTTATGTTCATGATAGCTACCGTAGGAATTCTGATTAGCGACTTTTTTTCGTTTCCGATGCTCAGAATATTTTTTCACGGAAAATTTACCCCGCGTAATGATCGCATGCCCAAGTTGGAGTCAATTTTTTGGGAAAAAAAAAAAGTACGATCATTATGCGAGTATATACGGTAACTGCAGAATTTTCATTCGTTGAAAGAAGCAGTGGTGGCCCCTATTTACAGAGATGATCAACACTGCTGCACTCCGTGCATAGAGGATCTGCTAACCTACTGGAGGCGACTCGTCTTCATCCGTGTTCAATAGCGCAGTAATAAGCCTTTAAAGTGAATGTAAACCAACTAGTGCGATTTAGCGCTTTACTTCAGCATTGCTTTTCCTTATTACGCCTTCCTACCTTGACAGGAGTCCCTCACAGTAAGAATTGCATTTTGCTCTTTATATAGGCAGTTGTATACTAATACAGTTTTAAACTGGCACAGTGCAACAAGTGAAAGGTATAGACAGTCAAGCCAGGGAAAAGAGACAAGAGTGCCGCTTTGGATCAACCCTCTGTTTCTTATGGCCAGCTTGGCTGTCAGTTCCTTTTTCCTTGATGTACTGTGCCAGCTTAGGAAAGACTAATCAACTTGCCCGGTTTCAACACTATTAAAAATACAGTCAATGTATTTGCTATGTTGTTCAGGCACATAACGAGACCACAGGTGACAGCTCAGCTGCCGTGCAAGACTAACTTAATCTCCCTCTTGGGATTCTTACACAGGCCACCGCAAATGTACTCTATTGCTTGCATAGTCTGGAGTCCCGTGTATTTATATCACTTTCTTCCTGTAGTTGTTCAGCCCCCAAAAAGCACCCATGGGAAGAAGTAGCTCCTTGCACGAACCATGGGTTCCCAGCAACGATCCTGAGCAGAAGCAGGCTGAAGAGGAAAGCAGCAAGGTTGACCAGGGTCTCCTGGCTGCCATCCTTGGCGCTTACGTCGGCCATGTTGTTATTGCGCGCCTGGTGTTGAGTGAGCGCAGCCCGAGTTGCTCCTCCAGCCACCCCCACAATAGACTAGCAAAAACAAAATGCATAACAAAAGGTTTGGAATTGCACCCTCTCTGTCATGCCACACAAGCACTCATACAGATGCACACGTTATTTAAATGATACTAGTATTCTAATGAATCAATGACCAATAGCCATGCAATATGGCTTTTTACTATATGCCATTGTGCATTAAAGCAGCTGTGCAAACCAATCAACAAATGTGCCGTGCAAAGGGCAATGTACTAAATAAACGTGTCTTACGCTTTTGCACTGAAGCTATGAGAGTTCCATAGGCATTTTTATGTGGTGCTGTGCTCTGCACCACCTGCACATCAAGTGAAGGCCACAGTCAAGTTTTTCTTGAACATAATTATAGAAGTTGCCTTGAGTATGCCTAGTACAAATAACAATGAATTATTAGGAAGTTTTAAAATGGTAGTTTACAATGTTTTCCTTCTCGCACGGTGCCTTACAACCTACACGTTGGATGCAAGCCAGAAATGTCTACGAGTGTGGCAGTGAAAGTCATTGGCATGGCAATGCAGTACAGCCTGTGGGGGTCACCACTACGAACAGTCAGCAAACAGACCTTAAGTACTTCCAAAGAGTGGCAACTCTACTAACAACATTGCTTATCAATTGCTTAGATTAGCGAAAATCAGATTAGAAATTGTTTTCCCGTCTACACATGGCGAAGTCATATTAGAGAGGGAGCAATCGCTTGAGACATACCTTGGCAACGCTCGACACACAAAGCACGGCCGTCACGTATCCCTTCATATACTGGCACATGAGCTCCAGGAATATGGCGACAGTCGTTCAGTATGTCTGCAAAGAGCCTACAAAGAATGCAGCAGCAAAGCAAAGCGTTGTCAGTTTTCCTGAAAACAATAAGAACCAAACAATCAACTCACTTCCTCCCCCCTATGTAAATAGCACTTATGATGGTACAGTGAAATCTCGTTGATAAGATCTTCTAGGCAATCAGACATTGAAAACATATAAGAAAAACTGCACCATCCTAAGCAGCCCCTGACAAGCAAGAAAATGACCATACTAGTCGCTGAAGTGAAAGTACACCGTGAACGCTTTACAAATTGTCTTTGATCAGCTCCCGTTGTTCGCTAATGGCCAGTGTTGCCCGATTCTCACCATAAATGTCATGACGAACGGAATAATTCGAATTGACACAGTGCCAGTGGCTCTCCACACTCGCCCGTTCGACATTTATTTACTGCTGCTGCAGAATCTGTGTGGCTGCAGCCATTAACACATTTTTCGTGGGAAGTTAGAATCATTTAAGCAAGTGCACTGAAATAGAAAGCTAGGAAAGTTTCAGAAACACCTGTAACGGCCCACTTTATTACTTAATTTTGGGCAAGAATGTGATCACATTAACCGCATGACAACTCGTTGCTCCTATTCAATGTTGTCCGAGAACAGAAATAGAACTCAATATTCTCAGAATCTTAAGATGCATAATTGTATCAATTAGATTCTATTGTATAGGAATCTAAAAAGAGATGTTTACAACGTTTATTATTTATAATAACAATGAAAATGGCTCAAAATAAGTTTAAAAGTAACAAAAAGAAATGATTATAGAACTCATTACAATAACAGCATGTAAATATACTGCTAAAGTTCACTCACCTCCACTTCTTCGAGTCATAGTCAAGGTTTGAGCTGTGAAGAAAAAATAAAATTCTGACTAGAATGCAAGAAAAGGAACAATTAAGCATAAATGCAAAGTTGACCACGGAAGCTTGTGGGACCGATAATTTGCAAAAAACTTGTATTATTTCCATGAAGCCTTGGCCTATAGGCGCAAATTCCTAGGTTAAGTATCTCACAGTTGTTTATTGTGACTCACTCAAGAATACAGCAAAAACAGGAGTTCCCAACTTTTAACACAGCTGAATTTTACGTTTGTTGATTAACTCAAGTCCTGTAAAGTTTTGTGGCCAACCAAATGCAACAGCAACACCATACCCTTGAAACCAGGCAAAGAGGATTCGTCCAGTCATGCCAGTGCCATCTAAAAAAGTGCAAGAAGAAAACAAGTCATAAGTTTTACCAAACCACAGAAAAAGCGAGTGTAAAAACCAAACAAGAAAGCTAGATGCACATTGAGAATGCTTTGAGCAATTGAAAGGGTCAAGACATGGTCACCCGACAACTGACTGTTTTTGGCAAAAAACTAAGGTAGAGGGTCAAATATGGTTGTATACGTGTGAAAACCGAACTGTAAAGATCATTTCAGTCCACAATAAGCTGTAGAAGTTATCGGCTGTAAACCACCCACCACCAGCGACTGCCATTTTGTACCATCACCATATGCGGTGACGACGTCGTGTACATTGCGCATTTTGATTTCGACTCCATCGCCACGAGCTCAAGCATTGAAGAAAGCGTCGAAGACGGTGTGGACCAAGATGCCAATGACAGCTTTATTTCAAGCGTGTCAGGTTGAAAAGCGAGCTTGAGATACAGGGGCCCATCGATGCTGAATTCGCGAGCAAGTGCTACTTAATTAGCACTATGGAATTGGCAAAGCGTGCAGATTCTCGTTCGCTAGCATACATGCATGCAAGAATTTCTGTGCTGAACGTAATAAATAAGTGGTCGCAGCAATGCTGCACGTTGGGTCCATTGTTTTTCCATCTGTTGTTGCATGTGGCATATGTAAACATAAGCCGAAAGGAACGGCATGTCAGTGAGGCGCTAGGGTTACTCACGATACACATTTTCACCGGATCTTCACTTGAACTCTGTCGATTGCATTCCTTTCCGGTAAAAAAATAGCAAGTGTGACTCTCTACCATGACACTGCCTGCGAGAAGTTTCAATAAATATTTATCTGTAGTGGCAATCGGAGTACGAATTGCACATTGCACACTGGTCACTTTTTGACCTCCAAAATTGCTAGGTGCAAGTACCATGATGCGGTGGCATTGTTTCAACCCCTAGTAGTCATTGAGTTCCAGTGACAAGTTGAACAATGCAGGAAAGGTTCGATTGCAAGCGCAGCTGACCACAGAACATGATCATTCTTCAGAATGCAGACCGTGCAGCAGCTCGCCTAGCAAGTGGTTCGTGACGTCACAGCTAGCAAGCATGCCAGTGTTGCCCGACTCTCAGGCCGGTCGCTCGCTTATCAAAATATTCGATTACAAACTAACGGTCCAACCAAATTTGCTCAAATATTGCCAGCTGGTCAGTGAAAGTACAGGTATAAACCCACACAATACAGATTATCGTTGAAAATTGTGTGTCATGACCCCTTCAAAGTGAAAACATTTCTCCCAGTGCAATCCGAACAGTGCAAACATTGACACCTCCTCACATTCACACAACCAGGGCCACGCAACCATCTCGGAAGATTTTACAAAGCACATCAACATCAACATCCTTATTTTTTACTTAAACAAAAATTTCATGATTGTGCCGTATGTTTTGAAGAAAAGAAAACAAATGCAGCAATTTCAAGTTTAGTGAATATTGTGCCCTATTTTGCCACATCATTGTAAAGTTTGCTGACCTTACTAAGCAGAGAACTTGCAATTTGAAAACTCTGTAAAAAGTTAGGCCTGTGGCTGGCAGCAATTCGTGCAGGAACTGCACTTCAAGCCGTTTCAACAGATGGCTTGCGTGGCACTCCAGATAGCTTGCGTGACAGACAACTGCCTCACTGGAGTGTCAGCATATTGTATGCAGATTCTTCAGTCATTCACACACAGAGGCCAATAACATTCTGGATGCATCATTATTCCACTGAAGTACATTGTCCATAATGTGATTATGCTGCCTTGACATCGCCAAAGCTGTCATGTTAAAAGTACCAGTACTTTAAAAAGTTGCGACCATGACATCATGAGCATGCTATCAATACAATTTCACAACGAGACTGCGCTGGTTCGTTCTTTTGTAGAACCGGTTGCTGTGCTATCACGTTGCAGCATGCTACAAAAAAAGTGAATAAATTTTTATGACATTGTTTCTAACAAGCTCTGCGATATGTACTCGAGCCACAGTAGTAAATTAGTAAGGGACAGTGCTGCAGTAGGAAATCCATGTGTTCACACAGATCCACAACAAGCAGATGCAATCAGCTCGTGGTGTTGAAAGAGGCACAATCAATGTGCAATCCCATCTTTGACAGAAGTCAGCTGAACACATACATGATGAGTGAACCAGTCGGACTTGATTCCTTCATGTGAATCACTCAGCAGAAGCACAGCATATCAGCTGTGTGAAAGTGAAGCAATGGAAGTTAGAAAAGCATATAAATTTGGAACTTTGCACACCTACACATCGAAGAAAAACAGTGAAAGGCATACAGCGCACCAAAAGTCATCGTTTTTTAGCTGCAACAAGTACCACTTATACAGCTGTTTCACTTGAACCAATGGTAAAACTCGACTTGCTATATCAATGCGCCCTCACCTCTGAGAATCCAAGTAGTGGTCGCAGCTAATACTGATGCACCTTGGTCCCCGACTCCAACGCCGGACAACACAGATTGAGTGGCGAGTGTTCCTGTAATGCTGCTTGCGAACGCCTGTACACAAATAGAAGGCAACGTGACATGAAAAATAAGGAACATCACGACATGTAAGCTGGCAATACTCATGCGAAATGATATGAATCACACGCAGCTGTCATTAAAAGACTGTTTATGAGAAACTCACTTGTATGCTGTCCCATATTTGATATTCTGTGTAATCACGACTCACGCTGTCCGGATAGCCAACAGGTAGAAAGATTTCCTGCGGGCAATAACAAGAATAGGTGCAAGAGGTTGGTTGGTGCAAGACACTGCAAGGGCTCGGCCATGAAATGGGTGGTGCCTTCTTTTAGATATGGAACTGTTTAATAATCTAAATATGTATAGAAAATAGATAGTTTATGAAGAGTGGTTAGTGACAATTGCCTTGTTTATTTGTTTTTTCTTCAAAACAATAGCACATACCCACTGAGGGGCATCGATCAAGAATGAGTTGTTGAAATATTGAAAGGTGATTTGGAAATGTTCAGAGGTTCAAATAGAAAAAAAATGGTAATGTTACGTATTACAATGAATTAAGACTACAAGTAATGTCCTTTTGGGCTCGTATATTAGACTGCCATAAAAACCTGATCAGAACAATTTAGATGAGATTAGCTACGTTTTACTGCATTTTATAAACAAAAATTTCTGAAGGCAACACTAAAATGGTACTCGTATAGTAGCCTGAATGAAATTACACACGACATCAAGAGCATCCCTGTGGCAATATCCCAAACCTGAAGGTGCCGAAGCTTAATACAATTTATTCAGTTAAGGATAAGCCTATTTTTGCAAGGGGACTAATGAGAAGTCGTGTTCTAATATTGAAATATTGGTGATATGACAAAAAGTAGTGTGCAATATTTTCTAATTCTCTACGAAATCAGCAGAAGGGTGATGCCGTCAGGCAGCCCTGTGCAGATATAAGTTTAACGAGGGAAACACGGCACTGAAATCTGGTTGTCATCACTTCTGATAGTCGAAACTGGCTTCACTGAGCTTCCATGGAAAGTTTAGGTGCTTGTACTTTGCCCATGTTGTTATTTATTCCATCCTATCTGTGTGAATTGCTAATTTTTTATATCTGATTGCAGTGACATATTCTACTACTAGAACAACCTCAAGTATTGGGAGATCTAATGATGTGCAGGTTAAAGCATCAGCCATTTTATTTCATTTTAACCCACAGTGACCTGGGACCCACACTAATTTTAGGTGCTTCAGTTGAAGTGGAACTTAAGACCGTAACGTTTTGAGGGCACGCGAGTTCTGCGAGGTTGAAAGAGGTTTGCAAACTGGAAGTCAATCTGTTATTATTATCCCCTGGCTCTCATTCGTCGGAAGTTTTCGCAACGCCATGGTGACAGCCATGAGCTCAGATTCAAAAACCAGAGGTAAATCGGGTAGCTTCACCACGAATGACCAGCCAAGCGACTCTCAGATAATTTTCACACTTGATCTATTCTCATTGACGGAAGCCTCTGTAGCTATTATGTTTAGTGTTTGGGCATGTACCAAGAAATCTTATAACCTGTTCTCTACGAATTTTTGGGATTAAAATTTAGATTTTGGATACAATCGCATCGAAATCCATCATGAGATACTGATAGGAGTCATTAGTTACTATTATCTCTCTGATGTCGGCACTTTTACTTTCCAGTTTCATCTTAGGTGTATGAAAACGTGGCCAATGGGTGAAAGAGGAGGAGTCTGAGTCACTGATAAAAACGTATTCACCTCTTCTTACAGGGAAGCTATAAAATTTTTCAATTGTTTGTACCACTAATAAACCGAATCGACAGAGCAATGAAGGCAGACGTGCTTCCTGTACACAACATTAATTGCTGCCAATTGTGGGAGCGCCAGACACTAGCGTAGAAGTTCCCGCTCCAACGTAATCGTTAATGTACAACATTAACATGGCACCCCTACATACACCAAATTTGCGACTGCTCATTCGGCACAATAAGCCCAAAGCTCGTTGAGCCTTAGCCGCTATGTATTCAATATGAGGACTCCAGTTAAGTTTTTCATTGCATGAAACACCAAATATTTGAGAGAGTTTACTTGTGGAATCGTGTCTTGTTTATATGCAACAAAGAGGAAAATTTAACTTCCTAAAGGAAATTCCACGAGAACACTATTAATTACATCTAATGCCATTGAAATCGACTGCAGCCATTCATCCAGCATAATTATGTAAATTAGCAATTTTTGTTGTAGAACGTAAATATCAGTCAGCTACAAAGAATACTGTCATCTGCATATAGGTATATAAGAATATCCTGACAGGCTGGTACGGAGCTCATTAGCGTGTTAAATAGAAGTGGAGACAGAACCGCTTCTTGGGGAGCTCCACGACTCTGTTTGTATTTAGATGACAAGCACCCATCTTTGACACAATAAAGTTTTCTTGATTCTAAAAATTCTACTAACCACACGGTCAGACACTGCGGAAAATTTAAAATCTGTAGTCTGTTAAGTAAAATGGCATGTTCAATTCTGTTATACGCTTTAGCAATGTCAAGGGTCACAAGCACAGTGTATTGTCTTCTTTTCCTAGCAAGCTGTACACGGCTCTCAAAGTCTGCATGTGCACACCATATTGAACATTCTGATCTAAAGCCAATCTGTTGTGGTTTCCGTGCCTACTTATGTTGCCATCCAATTGATTTTTCTGCCATGCAAAACCCTCTCTACAAGTTTGACACGTCAGAAGTCAAGAATATAGGTCTAATATTTTAAACGTTGAACCTTGCTCCATGTTTCTTAGGTATCGGAATTACCTTCGCTATTTTCCAATCATAAGGAATCCAAGCATAATTTAAAGAATAATTTATAACATTAAAGATTTCACAGGAAGAAAACTTGAATAAAGTTTCGATGATAGGCACTAATTCCATCGGGGCCGGGAGCTGACGGGGTGACTGCCTATTCAGACAGGATAGTTCAGCCATTGTAACATTGTCAAAGTCACTGTAGTGTGTACATTTTTGCCATTTATTTGGGACATTCGACGTAAATCTACTCGCAAACCCTTTAGAGATTAACTCTTCGTCTTCTTTCAACGCTCCGTAGTTTCCATTTATTCAGCGCTCCTTCAACGTCAGCGATAAGGCGAGATCAACCGTCAAGATTTCGGGGCGATATGGTTGGAACGATAACGGTGGGCGCACGCGCAGATAACAACAAACAAGAGAAAACCTACTCACGCTGAAACACGCCTTCAGTGACGACCACTTGCGAGGCCACCGCTTGACGACGTACAGCTTATCGCTGTTCTCGAACTTGACGTACGATTGCTGAATGTCAGGCCCGCACGTTTCGCGCGCTAACAGCCTTCCAGTCATTTTGCCACCAGTAGAAGCTTGATGGCTCCCGTTTAACTAGCGATAAATGCCACGTTTGAATGCGCGGAGTGTAAACAAACGTAGCATTGGTCGATGCATCGATGGCTTCCTCTGTGTGGCTAGATTATAGACGGCTTTGATAGAACAGTACTGGCTAGTCGTTTTCATCGGTTTGTATAGAAAACATGAGTAGTTCTTCAAACGTGGTAAATTTGAACGTGTCACCCGGAATATCGTGAATTAAGATGACCGAAGCAAGAAACTAGTATCTCGGCATGTATCTCGACGGATTGTTTTGCTGAACATGTCAAAGCCAACGCGAGCGACAGCAACACATACAATCGAAAGCGAAAGTTCCTCCTCCATCCTCTCCGTGTAAGTGAAACCTAAATGGCCCCCGAAACCAAAGCGACAAACTTTTGCGATATGATCTCGAAAGCCCTGCGCGCAAGTTTTGTGTGGAACGATAGCGTACGTGCCATTTGGCTCAGGCATGACAGGCCGAGTCGCAAATCACATCGCCCGGGAAGACGTTTCCTAGAGCTTCCTAAAATATTCAGGAAACTCTATGGACATATCAACACGTGGCGCGCCTGAGAGAAATCCTCGAATTTCAAAGGCGAACTAAATATCCCCCTCATCCTAACCTAAACAAGAGACAAGCATAGTAGACTTGCGTCGCCTGCAAACTTTTTCCCTACATTTACACAGGTTACACAGAATGTACCCTCACAGATACAGCAACAAATACTCCTGGTGCAAAGCAACACCCACATTGGAGCTCATCAGAGAACAGCTACCACTTAATCACTAAAAAGATTGCATATCAGTGCACAGAACGTCAGGAGGCTACAATCTCGCCTCTGTTAGACAACAGTCCCTTGAATGGGTCGTGGCAAGCGTGGCTCCCGTAAATGTAAATAGGAAGCCAACTGGCTACCCTTGACCAAGCCCACAGAACCGATGTATCCTTTCCTTCCGCCATGGCTGTAGCCACTGGGGTCCTTGGAAGAGGGGCACCACCACGCACAGCTAGCACATCCCTGATGTGAATGTTCCTTCTCTTTCTCTCTTAGTGCATTACTTATGTTCAACATAGCGTGAATTGCTTCGAATTCGGTCCGACACCAAGTCTGACGATAAATCAATTTTATGACTCATGCAAACGAAAACAAAACGAGCCTTTCTAATGATAAAAGACATTTCTTCTGTTGAAGAAAATTAATCTGCGAATCCCAGTCAGTCCAAGTGCCAATCACCGCATGGAAACAAACAAGACTCGATCAAACTGTAAACTTTGCATTGACGCGCGGCCCCCTTATTTTTAAGCAATCCGCACACAGTCTTTGACGTTCTCTGGCAAAAGTGACGGCATGTTGCCTGTTGCTCATTCTCGTCATAAAATCAACGAGATCTTAGACAATATTTGCCAGGTGTGCTGCTGGCAGAGAGGAACTTTTTTTTTTAAGTCAATGCAGTTAGGAAAACTTGCAATGATGCAGACCACAGCATGCACTCTGAATGTCGAGAGAAAAGGCAATGCCAACATTTTAGTTGGAACTTAAAATAAAACCGCAAATTAGCTATTGAATTGACTGCATGTTGAACTAGTTGGTTAATCAATTTTGAATACATATTTAAACAGCTTGAAGACTACACATTAGAAACATAGAATCATCACCCAGTTTGTTTTTTTTTCGTGCTTTGTGTGCAATTGTTTTATGCGTCTTGACATGTTCCCGTCTTGGCGCAGTTTAAATATGTCATCAGAATTAGCTACCCTATCTTTTTTTTTTTACGAACAGGTTGCCAAAGTTGTGCTTGTGGCAGGCACTGTTTTTCTACGACACCTGCATGGGAAACTATAACATCAGAACACCTGTATGCAGGGAGTAGCCAGACACTAATTCAGGGTTGGTCTAACCCCCGCACCCCAAAGCCCCCGTTTGGCGGTGCAATGTTTGGATCGTTAAACATATGTGCACCAAACAATTTTTTTTCTCATTCACCTTGCACCGTTTTCTCCCAAATAAGCTAACACTCGTCAAAGTTGAAAATTTGGTGGGTGATAGTTTATTTGCAAGCATCTGTCCCTTGCCAGGCAGTGTTCGGTCAAACCCAGGAATACGTTATGCACTTGCAGCTATAAAACGTGCAAAATGTGTTGCCAAGTTCTCGAAAAGTATGCATCACGTGGTTTAGGATTACTTCAGAACGCATTTTTTTGCCACTATTTTTCAGACATGTCATAGGAGGCACTACCCTAAATGTTTCACTATAGTTGACTGTCAATCTCACAATTCAACAAGTGACTCGAAATCAATAAGAAAAGCTAATATCTTTCATTACTTTCTAGAAAACTGCAATTTAATGTATAAATAGCATACCTAATTACAGTATGTACTCGGTGAAATTTTCTGAAGATTCATTACATGTTTCAAAAAGAAATTGCACAAACCGTATAAATACTACTGCTCAGATAGTAAGACCACAAAAATACACGTATCAGGGAATTGTCAGCAGAATAGTTTAGGGCATAAATGAACAGTGGACTGGTTTTATGCAATGGTGCACATGAGTACCACTCTTCAATAGTATGCTGAAAGTAGGCCCTCCTTAAAGAAGCTGATACCTTAGCAAAAACACAATTCCTGTATTATTATTGCGATCAGCACAGAAAGCCAACACTTATGATTACACTGGCTATACTAGCGGCCTCATTTACTTGGGCACCCACCAACTTGGTTGCAGAAAGCCGTTCAAAAACTTCAAGTGAGTGTACTTGATGATACTAAGAGCAAAAAAAAAGAACAAAGCTACAAACAATAATTTATTCTTGGACAGCAGAAGAACAAACGGACACTCTTGAGACGACAGTGGGTGCTTCCCCTGAGGTGAAAATGCAAATGTTTATTTCGCTCCCTTGACTCCTCCAAACATGATTTCGTCCACCAACAGCAGGTTGCTTGCAATAACGGTGCTGAAAAACAGGACAAAAAAAGAGCATGAACAGACAACACACCACACTAGAGATTCGAGCAGATCACAACATAGAGCACTCGACAGTCAATAAAGACTGAAAGCGAGAACAGCATAAAAGCATAAAACTTTGTTCTATGCATAACATTTTAAACACTAATTTTTTACTGGTCCCTGTGGATGTTCTACACGGCATGGGTATGTAAAAGGCAAATATCTTACGACCAACTCCCTTTCCACAGAACATTACAACAGCAATAATCAACAGCTTATTCAACGAATAGGTGCCTTGAACACAAGACGGCCATTCCCATAAACATTGTCAGATAGAACAATTGCAGGTTTCTCACAACAGGATGCACCTACCAAGAGTTCAAAAGCTGTCTCTTCACGCAGTAGTTGTCAAATATGCCCTCGTGGACAGGAACCAAAGCTTCCCCTGGAACAAAGAACATACTTATTTGCAGCCGTATGTAAATAACTGTAAAGGCATGTATGCTGTCTGGACATTCACTTAGTAATCTTTTGCCCCCCCGAGAAACTTTAGAGCATGAGTGGCATTATTTTCTTTATTTTTAATTGTAAAGTACTTTGAAACATCCCCGTTCATAATACAGCTTTAACTCATTTCCACACAATCGACTTCACGTTTTGCCCATAAAGACCTGCTCTAACGTCTTCCCTAAGCTAAGCAGTACCATAGAACATGGACGCAATATGAAGGGGATCAAATATTCTGACATACTGGTAATTCAATATAGGCGACACAAGCCATAGATGGTGTGCATCACTGCATAGCGGTTCTCGTTATTAGTATTCTTCAGCACATTACAAGGCTGTATCAGAGTCAAGCTTACTAAAGCAAATATGGCTTCTGCTGTGCAAGCCATTGATTAATTATTACATTCATGCTCCCGACTCATTTGCCTCCCATAGCCGATCTGCCTCTCAGATCAACGCCTTGTTTGACAGCACCTAAGCTTTCACACTGGCGGTGGCTAAAACTTGACCATGGAGTCTGCTTCTACTAAGCCAAAGACGCTGGCTTGGCAAGTCCACATTCAGTGACTGCCATTTCCATGGCAGCCACGTTCCATCTCGCAATTTCAGCAGCAAATCCTATGTTTGAAATACCAGAACAGCACCCAGTGAGCCACGCACACACCTGTGCGGAGGTTGAGGCCGATGGGCTGCTGTGCCTGCTGCTGTTCCTTCTGGAGCCGCACCAGCACATCCTGCGGATCCAGGCCGCTGTTGGATGCCAGCGTTTTGATGATGATGAGAAGCGCATCCGCAAACGCCTGCACCCCAAGCTGCGCCTTGCCTTCAATCGTGGGACGCATTGCAGTCAGGGCTGCGTGCGCCGCCAGCTCGAAGGCACCTGCTCCCGGCACCACACAGCCTGCACATGCACAGCCAGTACATGCTTTCAGAGATGGTCAGGAAAAGGACAACACCCAATACAGAGTGCATCAATTATTTCTCACGAAGGTAGCAAAAAAAAAACAATGTGAGGTCTCGTTTCTATAACTATGACAGCTTCAATGTCCTTCTGCACTGCCTTGTTTGATCTGCCATTGTTCTGTTCTTTTCACTATGTTATACCATTACCAGGCCCAGCAGAACCCCTTTACAGGAGACACTGATGTGCAAGAGACACGAGTGTGCCTACATCGAAATGGGGGTTGATAGAAATATGTATACCGTATCTACTTGCATAAAAGGCACACTTGTACAATAGGTGCACTAAAGTGATAACCTGTAAAATATGTCATATTTAATAAATTATTATACTTAGCGCACATGTGCCTGCATAACAAGCTTTAAGGGGAGACGCTCCCCGAAAAAGTTTTTTTTTATTTCTAGTAATAGAGACTTGAAAAGTTTGTTATTAGTATAGTTTTTCATGCAGATTTCAAATATGCAATCATTTTTTGTGTAGCTGCTATAATTATTGAGTTATGCCATAAACAATAGCAAAAAGTTACATTTTTGCGGGCACTCTTTTATGTACTAAACTTTCAGTAAAAGCACTGTATCTGATCATATTTGAGTCTTGGTAGATTTAAAAGTGCAAGTATCTATATAGATATGTCACAGAAATATCGGAACCAAGAAAAAAAAAATTGTATTGAATGACTTATTATTTTCAATCTCCCTTGAAACAATAAGCTAATATTTTCACAACTAATGCTGGTAGGCATTGCAATTTAGAGTAGATATTTGCATTCTGCATGCGTTGAAGAATATGTGTGCCAAGTTTCGTTACTATGCAATGAATATAAGTTTCTAAAAGGCTGCCCGGAAAACGTGAAACTGTCAGAAAAAATGAAAATGAGAAAAACAAGTTTGAAAGTTCGCAAAGTTGGCATTTATTAGGAAATCATTCTTTTTGCATCAAATTGGGGCACAATGAAAAGTACCTTTCTTGAATGCACTGCAAGTGTCTAGAAGTCCCCTGCACCATAGCTTGGTCCTTCACGACTCTTGCGGTCAGTGTCCTCAACACGAGCTCTCTTCGCCGTGTTGCGACGGTGTGCCCTCGCTTCTGCAGTTTGCTTCAGGTTCATCTTCCTGCTGCGCATGACGTCACAGTGGTCACCATGTGTGGCCAGATCTTGTGAGGGGAGAATTCCAATGCCTTCGAGCACTTCTTGAAAGCCCCTGTGGCCTTTGTTGTACCAGAGTACAGCAAGAGCGGTGGCCGTCTCCACAGTTGTTCTGGAGGCGAACTTTGTTTTTGGACATAGCAGCCATATCTTGCTGTTCAGCGATTCGGCTGCATTCTGTGTCTTGCCATGAAGGCACCGAATAAGGAGTTTCTCCTCTGTAAGGCGCTTGTAGATAGGCATAATTGCCCATCCTTGAGCCTTCGTCAACAGTGGGGTGTGGCGTGGTGCAGGCTCCCCTAGTGCAAAAGTGTTGTGGCTCGGGCGAGTTGGTTATCCATGAACTTAGCTTCTATTAGCGCGGCACATATGAAAAGGAAAGAGGAAAGAATACAGAGACGTCAAGACAGGTAGGCGCTAAACTTCCAACTGTTTATTTCATGCCCTTGACACCCATCTTATACATGCGTAGAAACACGACTCATCTTGCACGTGGTGACATCCCAAGAAACGTCATTTCCTTATCTGTCAAAGCAATCGAAGGTGAACTCACACACAAGTTTCCCATTTTTTCTATTGCCTCGGCTTCTTTGATCTCACGTGTCAGCTGATTGCGAGACCGGCTGATAACGGTGCAGCTATACAGATCAGGGGAGCACCCACACCCCTTGCAGTGCGCCGCCAAGAACCCTCCCGCTGAAAGTTTATTCCTCGCGTTGTAAGCATGTTCCCGCAGTCTATCATTAAGACACCGCTTAGTCTGTCCTATGTAATATCTTCCACACGAGAGGGTTCTTGGCGGCGCACTGCAAGGGGTGTGGGTGCTCCCCTGATCTGTATAGCTGCACCGTTATCAGCCGGTCTCGCAATCAGCTGACACGTGAGATCAAAGAAGCCGAGGCAATAGAAAAAATGGGAAACTTGTGTGTGAGTTCACCTTCGATTGCTTTGACAGATAAGGAAATGACGTTTCTTGGGATGTCACCACGTGCAAGATGAGTCGTGTTTCTACGCATGTATAAGATGGGTGTCAAGGGCATGAAATAAACAGTTGGAAGTTTAGCGCCTACCTGTCTTGACGTCTCTGTATTCTTTCCTCTTTCCTTTTCATATGTGCCGCGCTAATAGAAGCTAAGTCCCCTAGTGCTTCCGCACGCTTGTGCTTGCACCACGAATTTGGTCCTGCGGGGCAAAAGTTGTGGCTACTGGCACCATCACTGGAGCAGCAATGAAGATACGATGCCCATATGGCAGTGTACATATTTCGGACACTGTCCTTGTTGCTCGTGATGGCGATCTTGTAATATGTTCGTAGTTTTATTATTGTCGCATCTTTCAGTTTTTCGCCTCGTGGCAGTGGCGTTGCCGATTTCCGTAGGGCAGTTCCCAAGCGCTTTGCAACGTGGTTCGTGCACTCTTCTTTGTCAATGGGGGTGTCACAGTATACATTTGCCTCGCAGACTGCAGTGTAGGCCTTGCTGTCACCATCACTTAGGAAGCTGGTGAATCGCAGTGGAGTTTCATAAGACAAGGTCCTCTGCCATATATTGACAGCTGCCGCAGGTTCCATTGCATGGGATGAGCAGTCAGTGTTTTTTTGGCAAACTGGAAGATGAAAAGCTCGCCATATCTCTTCATCCTCCCCAAGGTCCCTGTGTATACAGCAAGCATGGCAGTAGTTCGAAAGAACTTCAGAATCGAGGCAGAGCCCCGTGTCCAGGGACACGACTGTGCTCACTCCATTGTGGCTTTTATGACCTCTTTTCTGCCAGGTGCCATCAAACATGACTGGCACATCTCTGCCGCCAACTGCGTCCTTCGTGATGTTTCGTGCCTGGTGCAAGTTTTTGCTCACTGCCGTCATCGCCGCACCATGGAGCTTCTTGCAAATGCCGTTGAATGTCTTGTGATGCATCGGGCTCGGAAGACCGAGAATCGCACAAAATCGTGAAAGTTGGTCGTGGCCTGCGCCTATAGCGCGTGCTGCCAGAACTGCCTTCCCGTTTACAGCAAAGCTGTCACGCGAGCTGCCGCTGTCAAAACGAGCGCTCGTTCCTTGGTTCCCGGCCGAAGCAGTACGTCTCGACGTGTGCGTGAACGAAAGTGCAGATTCAGGGCAATCAGAATTTTGACAGCACAGTTCGAGGAATGCCGAAAGTCCTTTGCGCTTTCCAGCTGCCTCTCGCACGCCGAGCTTCCGTTTGCGGCAGGTTGGGCATTGCGCACTCGCCACAAGTGCCGTCAGCGCATCGATTTCGCAAAGCAGCATGTTCGCAGTAGCAGCATCTACCGGTCTACGTTCACTCTCGAAGAATCCAATCTTCCTTTGGGATGCACTGACGAATTCCACGGCAGCGGCTATTTCACAACCACTGTCGCAGGGTTCGGTGACGGTGTTAGGCCTATCCGAAGTCGGAGCGTCGGGGCGTTGGTCGGGGGCGACATCGTCGTTCGCTGTCGCTTTGCAAAGCGTCCAACGCCGTTTCCCTCGATACTTGTGGCGAGTTCTGAACTTTCGATTATCTGAACTGCACTTCTTCGGGCTTGCCATGACGCAAAAATGCAGAGAAACGCAGAAAAACTCGATCGCGAACGTTCGAGGCTTCGCTCTTTTGCCGGAGAGATAGGAGGGGGAGGAGCGTGGAGCGCACCGCCGTCCAATGGCGGCCTCGCGCTGTGTGCCGCGATATTCAAAACGCGTGACGTACGCGTTGTTTTTCTCGTTTTTTGTTTATTCTGCGTGAAGGCACGAGACTGGCCACTAGTGGATTATGAAGGATACGGCCTTCGCAGCATGCGTGCACGATTGCAAATGGCGGCCAACGCGTCGTTTTCGCGACAGGACGACGCAAACGTCGCCGTTTTTCGCGACTTTTCGCGCATTTCTCACGTCACCGCTGCCCACTTGGAAGCATTTTTTGATAATTTCTCGTGCGAATTTCAGCTTGATATTTTCAGAAGTAGTAGATTATAGTCTAAGGATGCCAATACAGCCGAAAAAAAAAAAGCGAAAATTTTCCGGAAAACCGCGACTTTTCGACCCGCGTCTCCCCTTAAAGCTTGTGAATCTATTTGTCTCACTTTTCGCCCCAACCTAAGTGCTGGAAGCTAAGCAGGGACAGATGGCATGAAAAAAGAAAACATGTCATGCGTGCCTCCTGACACAGAGCACTTTCTCTTTATCTTTTCTTTTTTCCTTTGAATGCCGGCTTTTCAGTGTGATCACACACATAAGTGTGGACCAGTCGCGGCCTCCTGTGGCGACCACAGTAACGACCGAGTGCACCATGCTCAAATCAGCCAATGGCTGCTACAATGGCTGTGATGAGTGATTTTCGAGCTTGTAGCATCATTTGCCGAGAGAAGAAAGCAATTTTAACCGTATTTACTCGCATATTCCTCGCACTTTTTTGCCAGAAAACCGATGCAAAGTAGGGGGGTGCGAGAATTACGCGGGGAAAACTTTCCACAAAAACACAGAGAGCGAAAAAAAAAACAAAGTGGCCGCAAATCGGGATTCTCTCACCAGCAACTCACACCAAGCTTTAAGAAGTACTAATTAGAACTTATCTCAACAATAAAAGCAGAGGTTCAACACAAGGCAAGATTTATTTGAGACACAAAAAGTGCAAGCAAATAGTCGAGAATTAGAATAATATACGCAAAGCTTGTGGCCGTTGCGGGCGTAACGGTAGTGTTCGTCGCTCAACAGGAGCCCTCAAAAGGTAAGTGCAGGACGTCAGTATTGGGCTGATGGCTATTTAACAGAATCGTCCGCAGTTTCCTTCTGAAGA